AGGAGCCAAAAAACAAAAAAGAAACCGAACGATAGGAGGGTCACCACTACTAGATCGACTCATCAGTTTCTCTAGAGGGATGACCTATGCTATGTAAGCGAGAGAGACACACAGCACACTCTACCGCCTACCCAATACGACTGGCCACCCGGTTTCTCTCGACGTAGCGCCTGATGCGTTTGTTCACGTGCCTTTTTCAGACGTTCCAATGCGGACAGATTCAGACCTCGACTGTATTTCGACGATGTGGCCACGTATCTGAAAATCGATATATTGATCGGAATGAAAATCAATTTGGTAACTTTCATAGTGTAAGTATAGTTCCATAGTGTCTTTCATATATCAATAATAAGTATAATTTAATTTGTACTTGATCCTCTAGAAATAGAGGATCAAGTACAAATTAAATTATACTTATTATTGATATAAAGTACGAATTAAAATACACTTATTACTGATATATGGAAGTAAGTTGCCGCAAAACACAGGTTTTTTGGGCCTTTCAAAACCGCGCCATGAACATGTAAGAGAGTCTTCAAAGCCAGTCTGAATGCTGAGCCTAGAAGCGCTCGCAGTCACACGTGGCGTGATGGAAGAGATCGCTTAATTTCCGACTCACTTAGGGCAACAATCACACTTAGTAATGACAGAGGATAATGACTCGGAAACGAGTGGGCAATGGAGGGAAACGTCAGTAGGGAACTCGGGTCGAGATAATTCTTTGAATCATCACATTTCCGGCGGATTTAAATGTTGTCCGGTTGCCGAAAAAGCGGAATTACTTATTTGTTCACGCGCCTTTGAAATCAATAGAACTGACCCATATTCTTGGCAAATATAATTTTATGAGCTGATTAATGAAGGCACATAGTAACCGCTATTTCGTTCGCACCATTCGCCCTCTAAGCCTATGCTATTTTTCATACTATTTTATACTGGGGCGACAGTGGTGTAGTGGCAAGTGGCATGCGCGCGGTCCGGGATCGAATCCTGGGTCGTGAGTCGCCCGGGCCAACCAAGCCTTCCATCCCTCCGGGGTCGGTTAATTGGTACCAGACTTGTCTGGGAGGATAAAAACACTGACTTGTACATCGGCTGGCCCCGCAAGTCATTGTATAGGCCACATCGCATTCAAACGCCACTACGAATGTACAAATGGAAGTAGAATGCGTGCCGCATCTTTGAGAGCGATGATCACGGCAATGCTTTTTTTTTATTTTATACTGAAGTTTCAAAGAAAGGATAACCAAGTCGAGGTGGTCATTTGTAGTGAAACCTATGCTAACAGACGTGTTTTCATACGCTGATCCCATATCGGTCTTCCGAATTTGCGGAGCGGTTCTCCCAGCAGAGTTACAAAGGTGTTATGTCAAATAGGAAGATCGTCATTCAGACACCGGCGAAGAAAGGCGCATGGGCAGCGACTTGACTGAGGGATATGTGACGAATTGCCTGGTGAGCCCATGGTTGGGATCTTGCTGGACGCGCAATTTTGTTTGTTATGATTGTGTTTTTTTTGCGGTGTGGTACCTTGACTGCGACTCGGCCTATGGTTGGCTCAGCCTTGCGGGTATGTAGACAATGTGAGGTCAGCATTTTTATTTCAGACCAAGTTGGTCTCAATTAGATTCTGAAGTTGTGGAAATGGTGAACTGGAACTATCGCCTTAAGTTTCGTTCCTGGACGTGGCAAGGGCGCACCGCCGCTCATCACTGTTCTTCAACGGACACAGTAGTAATTGTAATGACGAACATTCGTTCAAACTAAGGGAAAGGGTCCCTGTGGGGCTTTTGGAAATTCCCTGAGGCGAGGACATGGCACAATCCCCCTTGCCAGATCATTACCAACCACAAGCACACGAGAGTTAAAAGCCTTGAGACCGCACAGCCTTAACTATGTCGCCATTATAGGGTTCAGGGTGGTGGATCAGTATGGGGTTAAGATGTAGAGAGAAGAAGTGGCGGGACGCTTTGGCTGAAGGATGTAAATGGAGCGTAATGGTGATAGGCGTGATTGCAGTTATCTGTTGAAAAGCCTTTTGTCGAGGTAATGGCGGATTAGGTGGCGATACATGACTAAGATTAAATCGAGCAACTAAAATTATCTAGAGTTGCTCGGGGAAAGCTGTCAAGCGCTGGCCTATTCGTTAACAAAAGACATGAATATGATACACCAGTTTAGCTCCGAACGACGACAAAGTAGTTTCAGTGAAACTTTCTTCGTGAGAGAGAAACGAGCGACTCGCCGAAATGCGATTCACGAACTTTACCAGTGTCTCTTGAGCGGGGAACAATTACCGCTACAAAACCTTCACGTCCACAGCGTTGTCGAGAAATCGTTTCGCAGCTGAGCCAGATTTGAGACTGCGCCCAAACATCAATGTGTATATCGGCTGGTTACAAAAAAAAAAAAAAAAAAAAAAAAAAAAAAAAAAAATAAAAAAAATAAATAAAAAAATGGCCACTTCGAACTGTGGCTATACGAAGTTATTACGTAATTGGAATGGCTTGTAATTCAAGAGCGTTTTCTTGGACAGTGTGGCTTTGTGAATTGAAAAAAGCCTCGAAATCTTGAAATCAGAATCCCTGGCGAAACTAACTTCCGAACGTATGAAAGATATTCATCAGACTGGACTCGCGCGTGCAGCCACTGAACAAAGGTCGGTCGACGGCACGAGGACGATGCGAAATCTTGCCCTTCTGGAAGCGCGCCACCGCAAACCCTGCCCTCTTGACCAAAATACGCCTCCGGACTCAGTTATCAAAGCATTGAATTGAAAAGCAAGTAAATCGAGTATAAGAAGTCAGTCACCGATGCGAAGTCTTGGAATTTCTCAAAGCTTAAGAGGGAGACCTATGAAATTAATTTGGCTAAATCCTGAAGAAATGCACTTTAAATACCATCCATATTTCGTGGGAGTCGCTGAAAGATGGGTCGTGCTATAGGGGGAACGGTCGAAAAAAATCGTCCGGTTGTCGCATCGCCGGGCGCGGCCACTAGCGAGGCATTGCGACACTTTCTCCAAAGGGCGCAGCGATTTTTAAATTTCAGTGAAGAATTTCTTTGCAGCCCACAATAATCTATATGGGAAGCGGGGATCGACTCGTTCAATTTGAAATCCTACATGCCGTTCTGAAAATGCCAAAAATGGGTGTGTGTGGTGAGTGGAGAGCAGAGGAAGAGGGGCTGGTAGAGGCGGGGAAAAGGGGCGTACTCGAACAGCAAAAAATTGTTAAATTTTACAATTCCTTTGAATTTCACCAAAATCTTGTCAAGACCCTAGAAAAAAACAAAACCACACAATACCATCCGATCATCTCCGTCTGGCTCTGCTGGCCACAAGGGTTACCCTTGGCCCATCCTATCCAGCCGCAGTCCCGACATTGGTTCCCAGAGGCCAACAGCCGAGGCTTAACGTTTGGACATTTCCAAGTTTTAGTAGGCGTCGCTTACCGTGCGACGTCGCCGCTGCCATTGGTACACAAAAGAATGGATGTCCAAAAACAGCTTAAGTCACCAGCCTCCACTGTAGCAACTTTTTTGCGGGGTTTGAGGACGACCATTCGGTAACTACATAGTTTGCGTTTCAATGCTATGTGAAAGTTCGCACTCAGGAAACAATTCGTAATACTGACTTTCCTAGGTGCTGCAACTGGTCGATGTCCTTGATTGAAGTGCGTCCCATTGGTGTTGTCAATCGTCGAACGCCGAACGGCATTTGAATGTTCGCATTCAGATCGTCCAGTAAGCTGTCGAAATTGCGATAACGACTTTTTGAAATCGGCACTCGAACACCCTGGAAAAGAAACACGTCGTAAACTTCAGCAATAGCACCCTATACCTGACAATATTTTTTCACATTGCTTTATTCCGCTGCATTTACGTATTTTCTTCATTATTATTCAGTACCAACTCAAATTATCGGCAATGAAAGGTAAACTCCGGTATAAGATTATTGGAGAAATCCTTTTTGTAGGTAGGACAAAGCTCGGCGCTATCGTAGGATTCGGGGGCATCACGTTGGCAATGCATCTCTAATCGCGTGTGTCTCCTTCCTGTTGAAAATGGGACTACGTTTTTGGTGGAAGAACAGAGGCTCCAGGGTGCGCTAGAAATTTTCTTTTTCTCTTGAAGTTCCTGTCCTTCCTCAGGCATGGTCGTGGAGGGTGTCCCTTTATCGGCGACCCCCCAAAACTAATTTATGAACATCGCGGACGAGTCATGTGACTTGACGCGCTCCAAAGGCTCACAAGGTGCTAAGGTCTTACCAATTCCTTCACAATAGAAACTGTACAGGGTGCTCTGTCGCCTCGATTGGGGACCGCCGCTAGCGCCTGTCTACGGCCCTCTCACACAGCTGTGCAGCGTGCTCCCTCTCGTTCTTCTGTCTCTTTGATCTCTCTCTCTCCTCTACGTATCTCTGCCCTTACCACTCCAACCCTCGAGGTAGAAAGTTTAGACGGCTCAATATTAGTGTTTTTCGGATATGTTTTTTTTTTTTACTTTATTATTCACTTTTCACTTTTTTCACTTTCTTTTTTTTCTTTTTTCGGCCTACTCCACACCCTCTTCGTTATAGAGCGTTCTCATGAATCAATTTCCTCCTGGGGCTTGCCTTTAATCATTCTCTTCGATGCTCATCAAATTCTAAATTCTGCTTATTTTTTAGGAGAACCATCTCGAAACCAATATATCGTATGACCCATAGCCCACGCGGCGAAACGCACGTGTATAGCATAGGACCACCGTACGAATTTGTTGACTACATATTGTAATGTATAAAAATGAATCGATACACGCTACATGTGTAAGTATTCAGTATGAAAAATAAGTAGAAAGTGATGGAGTGGAAGGGTCTTGCAATGGTCGCGGAACGTTAGTAGGCACTTAGCAGGAGCAGTCGTCAAAAGTCCAAACTGGAACTATCCGGAGGGTAGAACTGTATAAGGTATGATCATTCCGGCCTCATTCTCAGTACCTAATTTCAGACACATCGGATTATGTTCGCAAGAGAAGTTTAGCTGGCAGTGCTGGTCGCTAAACATTCAGCTAGTCCCGGCGTCTAGGTGCTACTTCACGATTGTATTGCATTGCATTTTCTGCTCCCCCCCCTTCCCCGTTGACACAAACTGTGACATTTTGGTTGTCATACGTGGTGCGTGATTCTAATGCAATTTTCTCAGGATTGTCGCCGCCGCAGTGTCGCCATGGAGACGGACGGTATATGAAAGGTGTAGTCGAGTTCTATGACGGGACAATCTTGACAATATGCTACTAGAATCACTCAGCGTAATGAAGACTGCACTAGAACACTGATATGATATTAGTATTAAAACTTATTATATTAGTATTAAAAATGGATAGACCTTTTTGTAATTGATAACTCATTAGATAATCTCCATGAGTTATCATTAACACACGCCAGTGGCAGCTCATATGGACTGCCAGAGACATGGGTTCTTGAGACAATGGCAGCCCATGTGGACTGCCAGCTAATAATTGTTTGCCAATCGCTTATCTCTAGTTTTTGGATATACTTGATATCAGCAAATAATCGCCAATCGCTCTCGGCAGAGCGATCGCAACGCGATGGATAAGCGATGGAGCGATCGCGTCGCTTCCATCGCTTTCCGTGACGGCGGCCTCATTCCTAGCGACTGAAATTCCATGAAAGGCGTCTTCGTGAATTTGTTGAGGGACACATTAAACGACAACGACGTGCGGGAAATAGGGTTCATATGAAACAATAGGTGCTATTCAAACCAGAATGAATGTAAATCCGAAAGGTTGCC